ACGCACCCGGAACCAGAGAGGAGGGAGCCCAATTCTGGGATTTGTCACCCGAGAACTTCCCTCTCGCAATCCAGGACCCCTTGGGGGATGTCAGAGAGCCGGCTTCAGCCAGGTTTCAGCTCGATCCCTGTAGGCCAGGCCGAGGGACCCCACCGGTGCACGAATCCATGCACTGGGCCTCTAGTATACACGTAGTTTTCCATCACTAAAATTGTCTTTTGCATTGACTTTGTCTTAACGAAATAGCTTGAGGAATTCTGAGATTATAACCCATGATGAGAGGGTACAGCAGATAGGAATGTTTTTTAATCCTTACCCGAGGATATGTTTATTGATTTGAGAGAGAGAGGAAAGGGGAGAGAGAGAGAGAAACATAGATCAGTTGCTTCCCATATGCTCCCCAACCAGGAATCAAACCTGCAAGCTTTTCGGTGTACAGGATGATGCTCCAACCAATTTGAGACCCCTGGTCAGGGCCAGATGATATTTAATTACCCTTCAGCCCCGGGATTAGACATGTTGAGAAGACAATAGGATGTCACCCAGAACTTGAACATTTCAAGAACATTATGAACCTGACTTAGGATTGAAGTATATCTCGTGGTCCAACTCCAGATGGGCAGATTGTGTAGAAATAAATATTCCCCTTTATCATTGTGATTATTGTATCCTCTGATGCTGAGGTTGAAGAAGTAATACAAAAAGTCATCAGTACCCTTTAATTCTGCTGGTCAAAACTATTTCTATTTTTTCCCTTCCTTTTTTTAAAAATATGTTTTTATTGATTTCAGAGAGGAAGGGAGAAGGAGAGAGATAGAAACATCAATGATGAGAGGGAATCATTGATCAGTTGCCTCCTGCATACCCCACACTGGGGATTGAGCCCACAACCTGGGCATGTGCCCTGACCAGGAATCGAACCATGACCTGCTGGTTCATAGGTCGACACTCAACCACTGAGCCATGCCAGTCAGGCTTTTCCCTTCTTTTAAAATGAAGATTTACTCTGACATAGAAATTGTGACTATTTTGTACCAAGTTTCCAACTGAAGCTACACCACACACACACACACACACACTTGAGCTGGAACCTTTTTAATGACAAAGAAATAGGTTTTAATCCCAAAAGATTATGTCCTTTTCCCATCTGGCTACCTCAGGCTAAGAGAAAAGTAAAAGAATCAAAAGCCATGGAGTATAATTTCTCTTGCCTCAAAGAAATAGTAGACGCTTCATATAAATGAAGTCAAGCTTGAAACCACTAAGACCTTTACTTTATCCCTTCAATTAAATATATTGGCTATTTGTGTAACTCTGTTTTATATATGTAGCAATTAAGGTGGCAAATTACATGGCTCTAATAAATGGAGACAGTGAGGGGTGCAATGGAAAGGACAAGGAACTGAATTCTGGTGACGGTCTCGTGTGCATATCCTATATAATAAAAGACTAATATGCAAATAAACCGAACGGTGTGATAGCCGAACAACAGCATAACCAGTCACTATGACGTGCGCTGACCACCAGGGGCGCGCACAGAACAGGGCAGGCATCGGCAGCAGGGGCAGAGCATGGAACATGGCAGGCATCAGCCGCGGCGGGATGGTGGAGCAGGTGAGCAGAAGTGCCAGACCAAGGCAGGGCACTGGTCACTGTCATTGGGGCAAGCCTCTGGTGGTTACTGAAAATTCGTTGCTCCCACGTGCTGCAGTCCCACCTGGCGCTTCCACCCGCTGCCAACACCAGAGCCACCACTCACACCCACTGACGGCGCCCAGTGCCAGCCCCGATAACTCAGCACCGTCAGCAGGTGCGAGTGGCGGCTGCCGGCCCCGATCAACCCTCCGGGCTTCTCCACCTCCCCCTGCTCCTGAGGGGCAACCAGGGCAGCCCCAATCGCTCTGCGCCATCAGCAGGTGTGAGTGGGACTGGCACTGTCAGCATGTGGGAACGGCGGTGGCGGGAGCAAGGCTTCCAGCAGACAGAACTGGGTCCACGGCGGGAGGGGCCGGGCGGGGACGCGGAGGATGGTCCGAGACCCGCCCCTGTGCCCACCACAGACTCTCGGCCCATGGTTCCTTTCTTTTTTTTTTTTAATTAAATCTTTATTGTTCAGATTATTACATTAGTTACTCTTTTTTCCCACCATAACTCCCCTCCACCCAGTTCCAACCCCACCCTCTGCCCTCACTCCCCACCCACTGTCCTCATCCATAGGTGCACGATTGTTGTCTAATCTCTTCACTCACCCCCACACCCCTTTCTCCCCCCCCCCCCAAGAATAGTCAGTCCATTCCCTTTCTATGTCCCTGATTCTATTACAATCACCAGTTCATCAGATTATTTATTCACTTGATTTTTAGATTCACTTGTTGATAGATGTGTATTTGTTGTTCATAATTTGGATCTTTACCTTTTTCTTCTTCTTCCTCTTCTTACAGGATACCTTTCAGCATTTCATATAATACTGGTTTGGTGGTGATGAACTCCTTTAGCTTTTTCTTATCTGTGAAGCTCTTTATCTGGCCTTCACTTCTGAATGATAGCTTTGCTGGATAAAGTAGTCTTGGTTGTAGGTTCTTGGTATTCATCACTTTGAATATTTCTTGCCATTCCCTTCTGGCCTGCAAAGTTTCTGTTGAGAAATCAGCTGACAGTCGTATGGGTACTCCCTTGTAGGTAACTGACTGTCTTTCTCTTGCTGCTTTTAGGATACTCTCTTTGTCTTTTGCTCTTGGCATTTTAATGATGATGTGTCTTGGTGTGGTCCTCTTTGGATTCCTTTTGTTTGGGGTTCTCTGTGCTTCCTGGACTTGGAAGTCTATTCCTTTCACCAGGTAGGGGAAGTTTTCTGTCATTATTTCTTCAAATAGGTTTTCAATATCTTGCTGTCTCTCATCTTCTGGCACCCCTATAATTCGGATGTTGGTACGCTTGAAGCTGTCCCAGAGGCTCCTTACACTATCTTCATATTTTCGGATTCTTTTTTCATTTTGCTTTTCCGGTTGGGTGTTTTTTGCTTCTTCGTATTTCAAATCTTTGACTTGATCCTTGCGACCCTCTGGTCTGCTGTTGGGAGTCTGTATAATATTCTTTATTTCAGTCAGTGTATGCTTAATTTCTAGTTGGTCCTTTATCACAACATCGAGGGTCTCATTAGATTTCTTGAGGATCTCACTACATTTATCGGCGGTCTTACCAGTCTTTTCGAGGATCTCACTACATTTATCGGCGGTCTCACCAGTCTTTTCGAGGGCCTTACTCAATTTATCGGCGGCTTCTAAACAGTTCTTTAAAGACCTTAAAAGTGTGGTTTTGAACTCTATATCCAACAGTTTGCTTTCCTCCAATTCTGTCGTTTGTGTCCTGTTTCTTTGTCTCGGCATTTTTTATGCTTCGCTGTGTCGATAGAGTGCCTTTCTGTGCTAAGTGTCCCAATTACCTGAGGTAGACACTCTTGGTGCACCCCCTTGTGGGCTTTGTGCACAGTCTTGTTGTGGTTAAGCCTTGATTGTTGTAGTTATCACTGTGAGGAATTGACCTCCAGGCCAATTGGCTGTGAGAATCAGCTGTGTCTGCGGTGGGAGAACTTCTGTGCTGGAGACACCCCTCTGGGGCAAGACTTGCTTCAATGGGGCTTTGGTGCTCACTGAGTCTGCCCCCTGAGTATGTCTTTTATGGTTCCACGGAGCTGCAAGCTGGATGGTCCCACTCTGACCTCTGGGCTTCCTGGCTCCTGGATCTCTAGGGAGGTGCTAATCTAGCCTTTGCCTGAGGCTATCCAGCAAAAGCCTCCCTGCAGGGCTTGGGCGGGGCGGGTCCCACAGGATCAACAGGGCGGGGTTAGCAATTATGGCTGCTCTCAGTCTTGCCCTCAGAGGCTCTGCTTCTCAGTGTCCCAGTAGTCGCTGCAAGCCCCACGGAGAGAAAGCTGCCCTAGGGTTCTGAGCGATGCCAGACAGTCCCGCTTCTCCCGTATGAGTGTGGGTCCTTAGAGACTCGCCCGGAACTGGAGCTCAGAGCCTGAGACTCCCTCCCGATTGAAAACGACAACCGCGCCCTCAGCCGCCAGCCAGCTCCGCATGCACTCCGAACCTTAGTATTTTACTTCAGCACTGTGCCTCCTCTGAGCCTCGGTATGCTTTTCTCTTTCCTCCTAGTTGTAGAACTTCCACTCAGCCAGCTTTCCTATGGTTCTGGATGATGTCCGTTCCGTCTTTTAGTTGTATTTTTGAAGTGGTTGTTGGAGGCAGCAAACTCCCATGTTTACCTATGCCGCCATCTTGGTTTCTCCCACGGTTCCTTTCAAGGAGCACGAGTTTGTGAACTGGGCTCCTAGTTTATCATGATTGCCCACGAGAGCCCCTAAAGTCAGGCTGATTGCGTTCAAAGCTGCCCCACCTACTGGTACATGTGTCAGACCTCACGTCACCTCACTGAGTCAGTTTCCTCGCCTATTGTGTGTGGATAAAATAGTGTTCACTACAAAATTTTTGGGAAGAATAAATGAGATAATCTGTGTACAGTGTCTCATATAGTGTCTAGCATGTAGTCATTGCTCTGTAAATGGTATCTGTGGTTAATATTCAACTCAACTCTGTGATCTTGGGCAAGTCCCATAATTCTTTGACTCTTGGCTTCACTATTTGTAAAACAAGAATATTTGCCCTACCTGCTTCTGGATGGTATTGTTGTGAGGATCAAATGAGATTATGTCTTTTAAAAAACCTTTAAAAGTAAGTATTTAATAAACCAGTTGGGAAGTCAGAGCTGTACAGAGCACAACACTGTTGGAAAACATTAAGAGGCAATGTGTGTGTTGGCCTGTTAGGATTCATAGGCTCCAAGAAGACAGCTGTGGATATTCAGGGAAAGGAAGGAGTCTTGTGCCCTCATGTTGGGGGGCAGGCCATATAGAGTGGGGACCTTCAGGTGAGCCTTGAAGAAAAGACGGGATGTGGTTGGCTAACCTTTGCCGTGGGTCTCCTCTGTGGTTCCAGGCCGAGCTGATTGGAAGCCTCACCCACAAGCTTGAGACTCTGCAGGAAGCCAAGGGGAGCCTGCTAATGGACATCAAGCTCAATAACGCCTTGGGAGAAGAGGTGGAGGCTTTGATCAGTGAGCTCTGCAAGCCCAACGAGTTTGACAAGTACAAGATGTTCATCGGAGACCTGGACAAGGTGGTCAGCCTGCTGCTCTCCCTCTCGGGGCGCCTGGCCCGCGTGGAGAACGCCCTCAGCGGTCTTGGTGAAGATGCCAGTAAAGAAGAAAGGGTAGGTGGCCTAGCAATTCCATTCAACACGTTTTCCCTCTGAGCCCATGTACACAGAGAAGCACAGTAAGACACGGTCCCTTCTCTCAAGAAGATGACAATCTACTTGGGGCAGGGAGGAAGTCCAAAGTATAGATAACCAGGAAACGGAGAAGGCACGTTCCCTGCCAAGATGTAAAGCTGATCCTGCAGGCTCAGGGAACACTTAGGAGGGTGGAAACACAGGTGCCAGGGTTTCTTTCCTTCCTTTCTAATGGGGGTTGACCTTGGAAAAAGAGAGAGGGACAACAGAACTTTGAGGGATGAGGAGAGGGCGCAGGAACATGCGCTTACGCCCCAGGGGATCTGCAGTTCACCTGGAGGCTGCAAGCCCTCGAGGAGGATGCACCAAGTGTCTCCACCACACCTCTTTCTGGAAGGAAGGGGACAGGTGATGACAGTGGTGCTGATCCTGGGTCAACTTCTAGTGCTTCCTCGGTGAGGCACTGTGGGCTGACACTCTCTATGTGCAGGCTCATGGAGTGAGTGACAGAGCCAGGACAGGAGGAGTCCTGCTGCAGACCCCAGGCTTTATTCACCTCATTGAACTTATTCCATTGCCACAGAGCATTCTTCATCTACGCATCTATGCAACACATGTCTGCTGGGTGTCTAGTATGTGCCACTGACTGCTCTGGGCACTTGGGATATATCTTGGAACAAAACAGACAGATCCCTGCTCTCAGGGAACTGACTTACCAAGGGAAGTCAGACAATAAACGTAGCTATAATGTGTACACACGCACAAGCAAAGTGGTAAATGCTCCAGCCATCAGGATGCTCCCTTGCTCTCTGGCTCCTCCTCCTATCTACAGCTCTCTCTGTCTTTTAATGCTATCAGGGATTTCCTAATTATTTCTCCTAGTGAGTGTGTGTGTGTGTGTGTACTTTTTTTTATTAAAAGGAAAGATGTCTTTTTTCCAAGAGATTAGAAAAAGTCCAGATGGTAAGCATTTGGGACTGTGTCTGCGTATCCAGAAACTTTCTGCAGCTCCACTCCAGTGGGTACCCTCTTCCTGGAAGTGTGCTGAGCCTGAGCTGCCTCTGCTGGGAACTGTCTAATAGTGTCTGCCTCAGAAGGCTTTCCTTTTCTCCTTCCTCCCACTCAGCAAACAGCGAACGAGAACCTGTACTGTGTCAGGTGCTGTGTGTGCTAGGCATGAACACTGGCTACAACACAGGCCCCGCCCTGCAGGAACTCGCCAGGAGTGAGGAAAACCAGTATGGAAGCAGCAAATGGGTCCAGTATGCTGCAGCACAGCAATCAAGGCAGAGCCCAGAAACACTTCTCAGCGGGTGGGGTGAGGCGGGGAAAGACTTCATGCAAGTGATGCTTAATAGTCTAGATACCGTGGTCGGCAAACCATGGCTCTTTGGCCCCTTGAGTGTGGCTCTTCCACAAAATACCACGTGCGGGCGCGCACGTACAGTGCGATTGAAACTTCGTGGCCCATGCGCAGAAGTCGGTATTTTGTGGAAGAGACACACTGAAGGGCCAAAGAGCTGCATGTGGCTCACGAGCTGCAGTTTGCCGACCACTGGGAAGAATTTCGTATTTGTAAGCAGAGTAAGAATGGAAAGGCTTCATGATTTAGAAGGAATATCATAGACCAAGTAAAGAAAGACCATGGCATCTTCAAAAACTGATTTACATATGGTTGTTATGTCTAGAACATAAAGTGATTACTTGGTTCATTTTTTTAAATAGTGAATTACTGAAAATAGAAAAGTATGTAGTCAGGGATTGGACAGGAAGTAGATTCCCAATTTTTTTTTATTTGATAGCTCTATTTAAAGGGGCATTCAGAACACCAAAGAAATCAAACAATTCAATTTTAAAAATGAGCAAAGGACCTGAATAGACATTTCTCCAAAGAGGACATATAGATGGCCAATAGACATATGAAAAGATGCTCAACCTCACTAATAATCAAAGAAATGCAAATCAAAACTACAATGAGATATAATCTCACACCTGTCAGATGGCTATCATCAATATGGTGAGGATGTGTAGAAAAGGGAAACTTTGTACATTTTTGTGGGATTGTAAATTGATGCAGCCACTATGGAAAGTAATACGTAGGTTCCTTAAAAAAATTAAAAGTAGAACTACATATGACCCAGCCATTCCACTTCTGTGTGTTTATCCAAAGAAGTCCAAAACACAATTCAAAAGATATATGTACCTCTATCTTCATTGCAGTATTATTTACACAATCGCCAAGATAGAGAAACAACCTAAGAGTCCATCAGAAGACAACTGAATAAAGTAGATGTGGTACATATATACAATAGATGTTACTGTAGTCTAACATACAATAGCCATTAGAAGGAATAAAATCTTGCCATCTGTGACAACATGGATGGACCTAGAGGGTATTATGCCAAGTGAACTAAGAGAAAGACAAATACCACATGATTTTACTTAATATGTGGAATCTAATAAACAAATAACAAAAAAGAGGTATCATTGAAGGTATGGGAAGGAGTAATGGCAACCAAGAAGAAAGAATGAAGCTCCCTGGCCCCTAGAGCCAGCATCAGAGGGGCAGCCATTACTACCTCTAGATCTAGAGGAGCAACAGGAAGGGGGTCCTCATCAGAACTATAGCTGTGGCTGTCCTACAGCACTGAGGCCTTGGGGAAAGAATGCAGCCACCACCACCTGGCAGAGACGGAGCCAGGGATAAATACCCCCCTGCTTTCTCCTCCAATCTCTCCCCATGACTCCCATTGGCCAAACCCAGAAGGTAAGGGAGCCCAGTTGATGCAGCCACAGAGCAGCGCTGAGGAGTGTGGGTCTGGAGGGGTAAGCAGTATCCAGTGCAGAAAATAGTTACACAGACCTTATGTGTCATGATGTAGGCTTTGGACTCTTTAACCTAGTGGCCAAGAAGAGCTATAAACTAATTTTATGACTTAATCAGCCTGGGAGGGGTGAGAATGATGCTTACAGCTGGGAGACTTATTGTAATAGTCTAGCAAGAAGGCTCCAGGCCATTAATTTGGGCAGTTGTAATGGGGTTAGAGAATGAGTTTGAATTAGCAGGTGTGTTACAAGAGAGGGCGGGTAGAACAGAAAGTAGTTTCCTGTTTGACAAGTTGGGTGGGTGCTGCAGATATCTGAGATAGGAATACTGGAGCAGATCTCAGGGGGAGAGAAGTTGTTCTACAATCGAATTCAACTCAACACTTAATGCACACATACACTCTCAAATACAAGTAAGTGCTTGCTCACCAGCGAAATACTACATCAATATTAGTTTTTGTAATGATCAGTCTTTGTTAAGAAACTATAAAAATACCAATAGGAATGAGAAAAGGAGTAATACTAGGTGCCAAATTCAGGATAATAGTTGCCAAAGAGGGGAGGGAAGGAAAGATGGGACTGGGATAAGTATGTGTAAGGCTTCAACTGAATCTAACTTTTTAATCGGAAGCAAATATAAAAAGTGTTCATGGTGAGCATTTGGCACTGTTAATGATGGGTACACAGGTATTACATCATTCTCTATGAATTTCTGGTGTTTAAAATATTTCCTTTTTTTTAAGGTGAGGAGAGGTTTTCACTTTTTAACTTATATCTCCACAGTATTTTGAAAGGTGCCTTCATTCAAAATCAGGGAGGAGGGTTTTAGGTGTGTTTTTCTAATTAGGTGCAAAAAGCCTATGAAAATGGAGATATTTGTAAGACAAATCTATAATTTTGCGCTTTTCCCCCTAGACATTATTATGTTAAGATAGGCTAGTTTGAGGAAAATTAGGACAAAGACACATAAGCCTTTCATCACCCTACATAAGCTAATTTGTATTGAGGTATATATTTAAATAATCTGTTTCTTAATTTTCATTTTAATGTTTCTCAATCACTTTGGCCTGAAAAGTCTGAATGGTTAATTATAAAATTTTTTAAAATGTTAATGACATTCATTGTATGTCAGCATGATGAGTAAAAATCAACACACACACATACACATTAAAATGTTCCATAACGTACATTATCCCTAAAGATAGCATGTTACCTTACCATTCAGTTTGTATAAGAAACTCTCAGAATACCACAGACTTCTAGGCCCCACCCCCCTTACCCCCCCAGTAGGTGAAATAGGGCCTGAAGTCTGCATTTCTAACAGATTCCCAGGTTAGCTGCCGCTGGTCCACACTTGGAAAACCACTATCAATAGAAATATTTGATGTTTGGCCTTTTCAATTTTTTTATTGTTGTAAACTACACATAAAACTTGCCATCTTAGCCATTTTAAAAGTACCCAATTCAGTAATATTTAATACATTCATATTGTTGTGCATCCATTTCCAGAACTCTGTCATCTTGCAAAACAAACTCTGCTTGTTAAACCGTAATTCCCCATTTCCGCACCTCCTAGTCCCTGGCAGCCATCATTCTACTTTTTGTCTCCACGATTTTGACTCTCCTAAGAACCTCATGTAAGTGAGATGATTGGTTGTGCTTTTAAGTACACAAGCCTCAAGTCAAGTCATTACCCCTGTCAATTAAAGGTCATCTCCCTCAAAGCTGCCACATGGCTTCACAAGTTAGAGAACCCAGGGGTACCCAATCGAAGGGTAATAAGCTGATTTTCAAGAACAGACTCTCCTTAATTTGGAGTGATCATTGAAAGGGAAGCCTGCACGTTTGCAGTCCTGTGGGAGGTTGTCTTTGTGGGCAGTTTGGCTCTGTCCGGCCGTCCCCTCGCCCTTAGCTCACCTGCTCGTTTTGCCCCGGCAGAGCTCTCTGAACGAGAAGAGGAAGGTCCTGGCGGGGCAGCACGAGGATGCCCGGGAGCTCAAGGAGAACCTGGACCGGAGGGAGCGCGTGGTGCTGGACATCCTGGGCAGTTACCTTTCGGAGGAGCAACTCCAGGATTACCAGCATTTTGTGAAAATGAAGTCAACACTCCTCATTGAGCAGCGAAAGCTGGACGACAAGATCAAACTGGGCCAGGAGCAGGTCAAGTGCCTGCTGGAGAGTCTCCCCGTGGATTTCATCCCCAAGGCGGGCACCCTGGCGCTACCCCCGGACCTCACGGGTGAAATGACTCCTGTGGGGGGATGTATTTCCAGTGGTGTTTTCCCAGCAGTAACCTCTCCACTCTAACCTCTTCTGAAACGCCCAACCGAAAGATCACCCTTTCTGTCAACACTATTTAATCTGAAAAACGTTGCAGTACAAACCACTGTTTAAACTCTATGGGTTTGGGGGGTTTTCTGGATAAAAGGAAAAGATTCTATCCAGGAAAAAGCCTGTATTTTCCTTCTCACCCTTCATGATTGATCTGACAGCTTGAATGCTGCTGGGAACTTAGCCCTTTCTGTTGTTACTTTGCAATAGAAAGAAAATTAATGAAACTGTGAGAACTGATGGGAGGGTGTTTGATGATTTAGTTTCCAACAGGCTTAGGCAACAGGGATCAGTGTGTGTCACCCTCAGGAATGTACCCACCGTGACCTGCCTTTGTGTGGGCCATGCATCCTGACGACAGGTACAAGGACT